GAATCGCTGGTGGCTCTCCGGCTCATGCCTCACGGTGCTAAACGCACTCAAACATACGCAAGGTCCACTTCAGGCATACAAGCCTCAACGCTTACGCAGGTCACCGACAGCTACAGTCCCTCACTGCCTCCCTGCGATGCATGTAGTGCGGTAGCGTGGAGATTTCGGAGCCTCGCCACGGAGGCGCCGAGAAGATGCAAGATGCATCAGTGGAGGGTTTCGGGGGGCTGATGCCTGCAGTACTGGGCGAGGCATCTCGTGGCCATGTCCTTGCGATTGCTCCAGAAGGCGGCGCCGGCGCTCAGGTCAGTTGGGGCGCAAGGCTCCAGTTGGGCCCCAAGAGAGACGAGGCGGCTCGCTTCACTGCGCAGTGCTGAGGTCTCGAGTGATGCTGGGAGCCTGGGGAGCCGCTGGCGGCATATCCAGTCGTCCTGGTGCTGCTTTTGTGCCTGTTGTGCCTGCACTTTGTGTTGAGGCCGGTGCGAACCGCGGGAGAGGTAAAGGACGAGGCATGGCTTCGTACACAAGTGTCATTGTGTGCTGCAGTCTGAAAGGTGCGAAGCGCGCCACGCCGATGAGCCTACAGCACTTCCACGAGCCTCTCAGCATCTCTCAGCATAGCTGAAGATCTTTTGGGGCGAAGGGGTAGCGGAATCTTTCCGTGAACAGCCCTCGCAAAGGCAAACCGCGAGTGTCAGCGCTGTTGGAAGCACAAGACATTCAGCGTGGTCCAAAGGTGCGACAAAGTGCGACATGTGCAACGGTGCAAGAATGTGCACGACGAAGTGGCCCGTGCGGCTCAGGAGCTTCTCGTAGCAGTCCATCCCTGTCAGCAGAGGACGGGCTTCTGCTTTTGTGTCTCCAAGCTCTGACGTCGGATCTGTGCCGGCGCAAGGAAGCAGATGCCACCGGCAGGACAGCGCGCCTCAGCCTAAGTAGGCACGACAAAGGAGATTCAGATCTTGAGCTTGGTGAGGTGGCCCGCGATTTGCTTTTGAATCAGGTCCTTCTGCGGGGCCTTCTGCATGGGCCAAAGGTCTATTCCTTGGTATCTGTATGGATATCTAATGCCTTTGGCAACTGTTTGTCCTCTTCGACCCTCACCCATGATTTGCATGTGTCGTCAAAGCTCGATGCTTTCTCACAGACCGGCCTCCATTCTTATCAAAGCTCTGCTCTGTTTCAGCCCATGGTGGATTGTGTGCCTCTGGCAGTCTCGGCCCACGAGACACTTCGCCTGCCCGGGGGTTGAAAGGAGAAGACTCCTTATCCCCAAGCAGCAGAGGCTCTCTGGGGATGAATTGGTGCACTTTCAGTGCGAGCGATGCTTTGGCATTTCAGTGGACTCGGATGCATGCGGAGCGTGTTCCCTTCACCTTGCAAGCCGCCATGCCCTGTACACGTTTCGCCTGAAAGATCTGGACTCACTGCAGATGGACCTTGTTGTGCAGGTCCTAAACAGCACTGCCTGCCGCAAAGTTGGAGTTGGTTTAGGGCGAACGGTAGAGGAATTGCTCGGTACATTTCCAGACCTTCAGCTTGAGGCTTGGGTGGACCTTGCGGAACATCTCTGGGCAAACTCCGTTACAATGGAGCGCTTAAGTCTGGAGGAGATGTCTCGATGGTTGCGTGGTACTTGTTGCCGTATGCCGGTAGAGAGGGAGATGAAAGCTTGGGAGGCAGCGGAAAGCAGAGACCTCTGGCCACACGTGGAGGGTCTGGTCTCCTTACGTCAGATACAGGATCAGTTGAACCGAGGTGTCAGTTGAAGCCTTTAGCCCAGACGGCCCGGAAGCCTCGAAGGGCATCGGGACGAAGGGTTGGGCAAAGCACCGCCAGTACGGCCAAATACGGCCATGGAGAGAGCTGTGGGAAAAGTTGGACGTCGGAATGCGCACAACAACACGAAGCACTGACAAAAACCGAGTGCGCAGCTCCAGGTCCGCCCAGTTCTGCTGTGGAGAATTTGTGGAGTGCGGCGCCCGCAGCTGACGCGGACGAGGCAGTCGTTCCTAGACCAATCGTCTCACAGATCTTCACCTGCGCCACCGACGCCTGCAGGATGATTGGCAGGCACCGGCGCATGAGGCGGAGCCGCTCGTGAACGAGTACGTCGATGATTGGGGTGCCGGCCTGGATGGGCTCCTTTTGTGGTGAGAAAGAGCTGCACGTGCCAGGCACAGACACCACTGCAGGCGCACTGCAAGCCTCGGCAAACTGCTTCGTCAGCATTTGGCCTCGCAGGCCCCACTGAAGCCTACAGTGTGGCTGAAAGTCCAACTCGAATAGAGGCCCGTCCACTTGGTGATGCGTCTCGTCGCTGTCTTGCAGCTATGTCGAAGGCCAGTCAAGAAGCCCCCTGCGACAGCGATGGCGGGGGAGAAGAGGTCCAGGAGCCGCAGGAGCCGCAGGAGCCCGTGGATCCGACCGACGAGGAGCAGCTCGGTCAGCCTCGTCTCACTGCGCGGCTCCCCCCGGCTTTGCAGGACCAGGAGGCTGAAAGCTTGGGAACAGACGTGGCTCTCTGGCTGAGCCACTTAAACCTCGCAGACCAAAAACAGGCGCCAGGGCAGCAGGGTGCTCTTAGGAGACCTCCAGTGTCCGTGCCTTTGCTGTGGAGGCGGTGCTCGCCTGGTGTGAGGAGATGGGGGCAGCTTCGCTTGAAGAGGCGTTGCGCCATCCTTGCGGATTCTTGCAGCTGGGCCCATGTCCTTGAGAGGTCATCGAGAGCATCGAGGACCTGGCGCAGGCACTGGCTTTGAAGCCTCTGCAGGCCCGGGAGCATTAGGAAGGCAGGACGGGATGCAGTCGCAGCTTTCTGCAGGAGAAGCGCCTGCAGAACAGAGCTGCTGAGGCATTTGAGAAGGTCCGAGCCAGCGAGGCTGCATTCTGCACCCTCAACCATGCACACGGATCGGTCCCCATCCGATGTATGCAGCCATGCAGGCTGCAGAAGCCAATGTGGGGGCCTCGGGACGGTCTTTGACATCGAGCCTGGTGAGGCAGTTGAAGAACTGAGGCAGATGCGGCGGCTACTGGAGCGGGACCCTCCACGGCTCCACAAGGTCCATGCCCTTGAAGCCGTGAGTGTCGGCCAAAGATGAAATCTCACATCCTTGAGTGAAGGCACGAGCTACTATGCTCGGCCCCTGGTGCTTGTGCTGTTGCGGAGAAGCAAGCTTGATACCACTCACGTTCCATTCTCGACAGTTGCTCTTGTCCCCAGAGGACGGAGCATCATCCTCACGTGCGGGTTCAAAAGAAACGAGTGCAGCAGAGTCCTCAAGGAAACTCGTAGATTAGAAGATCGCTTGACCACTTGCAGCCTGAGCTTCCGAGCAGGTAGCAAGGGCACAGAGCTTCTACAAGTCTTGCGGCCAAGTTCCTCTGGCTCGTTTCTTGAGGCATCTTCTTGGATTCACAAAGTTTGTGTCTGCTGCATGCATCGGTCTGCAGAGGGGAGGAGGGATCCTTGATTGCGTTCCACTGACCGCCAATCTGAGTCGATGTGCGGCCCAGCTGGGCCCTGCCTCCTCAGGTGTGTCCCAGATACAGGATGAGAACATATCAGAACCCAGCAGAAGCAACAGTCCCTTCAGGGCAAACCCAAACCCAGCGAAAGGCCTGACTCCTGATCCTCCGTGGACGGATCAGCAGGTAAGGTAGTGTCGCTTTGTGCAGGGCCCAAGCTCGACTTCAAGCAGGGTTCCATGGGCAGGTAGATGGTTTGCTGTTGCAAGCAGTCTCGCAGCTGCAGATGTCAGGAAGCAGAGGACAACTACCTCAAGCAGAGGCCTACGGAGGTCGCTGTCTGGGCGCGGCACTTGCAACCGCAGTTCCTTGAAGCCACCATTGGCCACTCCCGCAAACTCTTCAGGTGCCGTCTGCCAAGAAGAGCCAAGGCCAGCGGGGATTTTCGAGGAAGCGACGAGGGTTTCTTTAGACGCCCAGGCGAAAGGAAGCGGCAGAAGAAGCCGGCCAGCGAGGCAGGGGCATGCCGGGGCAGGCAATGGCAGGCATGGAGCTTCCACATTGTTTTGGGCACCGAGGCCGCCGAGGAGAAAGAGGCCGAGAAGGCAGCGGCGGACGCTCTTTTTGAGCCGCGCGCGCGCGAGTGGACAGCGGAGGCTAGGCGAGAGGCAGAACGACGGCTGGAAGAGCAGCTGCGCGAGGCGAAATGGATTTCGAGAGCTTCTGAAAGCGCCTACCTGGCCTGCCATTGAAAGCTCAGGAGCATGAGCGGAAACTCAAGGAGTGTCGCGATCTCATCGCGACTCGGATTTATTGCAGCAGCTTTGCTGTTTGCACCGATTGCTGCCTTCCCCGCTTCCTTTGTCTTGGCAGGCAGACGCCTTGGATCGCACTGACTCGCAGGCACCCGCGTCGCCAGTCCAATGTTGACACGAACAGACCTTCCCCTTGCCCCGCTCTCTATTGAAAGGCCTTCGCCACGGCACTGGCTGCCGCCAAGAAGGCCAGCTGCAGAGAAGACAGTTCATGGACGGGCCTGGGCAGTTACAGCTCCTGGAAGGACTCGAAAATGTATGAAAATTCATTAGGGTGCATTGAAACCCCTTCACTGTACGGGGTTGCAAGCAGTTTGTAACTTCCTAGAAATCCCCAGTCTGCCAGGCAGAACAGACAAGTCGGGATTTCATTATGTCGGTTCTAGGTCTGCTGTTTGTATTTAATTTAATTTTGCGCCTGACACTTCTTTTTCTTCAGGCGGGGCTTTCGCCGGTGCGATGCCGAGATTCTCCATGTCCGATGCGCCGTTGCTCGGGGCATGCCCCATGGATGTATGTTGTGACTCAGGAGGAGGGCAAGGAAGCGCAAGAGAAGCTGAACCTCGCGCTTCGCAGGCCCGTTCAAGCGGACTGCGCAGCAGGTCAAGCTTACACGGTGGTGAGATGTTGATGTGGCCATGTCTCATGTCTGCCTCATGATCGGCAGGCGCACGCAGCGTCGACACGACGCTCTGTGTGCCTTGCAAGCGAGTCTTGAAGCTCCAAAGGACCCGAACACAGCACAATGCATAGTCAGCAGTCAACAGCAGTGGCAATGTGCAGACCGTCGTTGATCACTTTCACCCAGGACGAGAGCTTTGGACCTGCAGTGCAGAAAGCCTTGGAGGAGGCCTTGTCGTGCAAAGATGACAGAAAATCTGGGATGAGTCGCTTCGCCTCGGTTCGCCTCGCCGCCTCGCCGCCTCGGGAGGCCAAGGCAGAAGGAGTGCTTGAGCACGTGTGGAGAGCTCAAAAAAGCGGCCTCCCTCTGGGCCTGGCGGTGCCCTGCGGCTTTCCGGGCTCTGAGGCCTGGCGGCCGCGAAGCAGCTCGAGATGCCGAGGCGGCTTTGCATGCCGAGACCCTCAGATCTCTTCCGCTTTTCGATCGTCCTTGGAGTGCCGGAATGGCAAGGACTGGGAAATAGCAGAGCAGCAGCGGCAGGAATCTCGCATGGCGCTGCAGCATGACCCTTAAGAAGCCCGCAGAACATCGAACGAACAGAGTGGCCGCAGTCCAGGTTTGCTCTGCGTCGCGGGGAAGTCGGAGCTCTGCAGGTCGGTCTGCCGTCAAAGCACCTGCCTGACAAAGACACCCCCAAAAAGAACGGGAAAGGACTCAAGGACTCTGCCCAGTTTGTAGGTGGCACTGAGCGAAGCCAAAGCTGCCGGTCTTCCAGACGACTCCGAACTGATGACAGAGGCAGCCTCCCTTGTCCAGGCCCGCGTGCCATCTTTTGCCCGTGCATTGGCTGTTGGGGAAACTCATCGCTCGCTGGCACCCGGGCTCATGAGCTTTGCTTTCGGGCCCGTGGCTTCGCAATGGCGGTCCGGCCTCGCTCCCTTGGATCCACACAGGATCCACGTGATGCTCAAGAGGCCCGGCATTCTCTTGGGCGTCTCTGAGGCGACCTGCATTTGGGTGTCCCGTGATCACACGGACATGCAAGGAGAGCTTGGGCTTTGCTGACTGGCGACATGAGGCTGAGATCCAGGACTCCGACCTGAGAAAGCTTGTTCTAGGAAGTGGGGACTGCCCCTGAGTCTTTTTGAATTGACGGAGGATGGCGACGGAAACCTGCGCCTGGTCCTGTTCTCCTTCCTGGCGCTTCTGTCCACGGCAATCTTCTACTTGCATGCCAGCAGCCCAAGACGTGGCACCGGTCGCCATTCAGTCAATTCAGCATCGCGAGGTGGCCCAACAAGGGCAGGGATCCAAACTTCTGAGCCCCAATCAGCTGGACAAGCTCAGTGCGGCTGGGCTGTGGGTACACGTTTTTCGGTGTTGGGGCTGAGTGATGCTGTGCTGTGCTGTGCTGAAAGCCTCACACCCCGCTGAAGCCGAGAACATGTCGATTGCCGCCCTTGGCACACTGGACGATGGCTCGCTGGACCGGCTCCGTCGCTTCAATCTCGACGTCTTTCACAAATTTGCCCCCGTGATTCCTGGCAGAATCGGCCCAGTTGTACTTGTACCAGTAGCTGAGCTGCACATTGGCGTCGCACGTCATTGTCGCACAGGATTCCCTTCGAGCCCCTGCCTTCGGACGTGTTTCTCGTGGGCGTCATAGGTAGTGGCATCACCATGCTGACCCAAGTGGCCCACGGGCTACGGTCCAAAGGGGACATGTCTTTCAATGACATAAACGAGGTTGTGCCCTGGTTTCATGCCGCACAGCTCTGCGGGCAGAACTTGGATGAACTTCAGCCTTACAAGCCACGCCTCTTCAAGACGCATCAGCTGTATGAGAAGCTGCCAGAGGATGCCAAATTTGTGGTTCTGTTTCGTGATCCGCGGCAAATCTTTTTGACTAGATACCGCCGCTTCTGCAACAGCTCCTGGACTGACTATGCTCGTGTTTCCCGGGGCGCGATCTCCTTGGAGAATTTCGCTGTGGGCATCTTCGGACATGAGTCGAGCAATGAGGTTTGGAAGTTCATGAGGTCATGGCCTCAGACTTCCGCTCGTGTCGGGCCTTGCTCGTAGCATGCTCATGCTCAGTGCATCCACACGGATGAGAGGTCGTGGATTTCATGCTGTTTAGGCAGCCAGAAGGTGTGCTGGTCTCAGTTGCTACTTCACGGCCCAAGTCCCCACAGCGGCACCTCTAGGCCCATGGCCTGCCCATGTCCGGTGGCTGGCTGAAGGCTTTTTGTTTCTTTCGAAGACTTGGTGGAGCAGACGGCAGACGAGATTCGCAGGACTCTTGCAGCATCTGCCAACAGAAGATATTTCCCCGACCCACAGCAGCGAAGGATAGGGACGTTCATATCTCCGCACGGCCGAGTCTCTGATGATGCCCTGGGCGTGGCCAAGAACCAGTCCACCAAAAAGTTCATGCAGGCGAGCCCCAGCTTTGGCACAAATTGGGTAGAGAATTTGCTCAATAAGGAGCACATCTCGCAGTTTGATGATCACTTCGTGCTGAAGCACCTCAAGCCTTTTGAGGAGGTCCGGACTAGTTTGCTGTGCTGATCCGTGCTGTGAGGTGTCCTGCCGTCCGACTGTTGTGCACGACAGGAGGTCCAGGCATTTGGACGGCTCCCCCGGATCCCAAAAATTTGGACAGAGAGCCTGCCCCAGGACCGTCTGGGAGTTCGGTCGTTCCTCTCTGTGTCCATTCTTCCGACTTGCGACATGTCGGGTCCGACCAGGAGCTCCCCCGGCAGATCGAGGAGCTCTTCGAGGAGCAAAACCGGGGCGACAAAGCGCGCTTCTGCAGTCGCGCCTCGGAAGCCGGCACTCGCCAGGCTCGCTGGAAGCGCTTCCTGGGCGAGACGGGCTTCGCTTCCTACGAGGACTTGAGGCCCGGGTGCCCAGGGCCGCGCCGATCTCTGCAGCTCCGACTTAGTCTTCCGACTTAGCCCAGGACACAGCTGCAAGGCAAAACCTCTCCCTCGAGGCGCGGCCCCATGCGGCCCCGCGCGGCCCCGCGAGCTGCGGGCACGGCCTGCCGCGACACGCGCGATCTTGCACTGACAGGGCGAAGTCGGGCAGCGAGGTGCGCAATGTGGTTTGGCATTTACGATTGATGCTTATAAGTCTTCAAGCGACTTCAAACGAGTGCAAATGCGCTCTGCCAGTAGCTTAACTTCTGGACTGCCGCACGCGTTCGACATGCAGGTCTCAGATCTATGGATCAAAGGCACCGCTCGGTGTGAGAAGAATGCAATCCGTGTCGGCTGCGTGTGTGTGACAATTGCAGTCGATGAGCAGGCCTGCTTGCATTGATCGCTGCAGTGCTCATCGCGGTCTTCTGCCTGCAGATTGCCGGTGCGCAGACGTTGCTTGCGGGAAATCTCGGTGCAGCCACCGAGGTGCTGGTGCTTCGGGATGTGAGGCTGCGCGCTGTGGCTCTTCTTCGTGGCTTGTCGGAAGCCGAGACAAAGACTCCGGCCCCAAGTCTCCACCGAGCCGAGGCCGGGCCTTCAAGGGTACCCTCGGAAACCGCCGGTCACTGTGATGCCTTGAGCTCCTTCCTCCCGGGACCGCGAATCGCAGAAGGTTCCCTCGATTGCCTGGAGATCTGCAGATGTTCCCGGAGATTACACCATGGAGCTGAGTGCCGGACTTTGCCCCGCCTGGTCAAAGTGCTCGCTGCCGCGATCTCTCTCCCCTGGCATGCGGCATTCTCCTCGCCGGACGAAGCACAGCGAGCTCTTGCACGGTTGACTGCAGGGGAAATCTCGGATGATCCTGAAGGGCAGGTCTGAGCTTGTGCCACTTGCGTACGTAGCAGACGTAGAGGTCCGGATACAGATGACGTCCGTGCAACGGAGACGGTGCCAGCGCATTGCACAGCAAAGCCTCGAAGTGTGCAGCGGCGAGCTGCACAAAACGCGCTTTGCATTGCGAAGTGAATCGGACGTCATTCAGCCCGCGTTGTTGGAGGAACTGTTAGAGAAGGAGAGGCTCATTCAAGAGGCGGTCTGCATGATTGTGTGGAGTGAATTGGACGTCATCTCGGCTGCACTGTTGCAGGAGCTGTTACAGAAGAAGAGGCTCAAGCAAGAGGCGGCCAGCATGATCACATAGTCATTCTCGTTACTTTGTTCGGAAGCAGGCCATCACGAAGCGAGAACGAGCCCTCGCGGAAGAGGCGAGCCCTCCATCTAAAGCCTCGAGCTTCACCAGAGGCTTCAAGTGGGAGATCTCGTCTTCAGGATCTTCAGCTCTTGGAAGAAGCCATCGCCCTGTGCCGCCAGCAGGGCCTCCCGTTTCAAGGCACTGGCACTTCAAACCAGCGCGATCCGCGGGCCATGGCCAGCGGCCCTTTCCAGGAGCGGAGGAGACCTTGCAGAGGTGGAGGCTCCAGGCGGAAAGACGCGAAGTGCCGAGCCCAGGCGCCGAGGGCAGTTCATGGGCTGTCAGGCCGAAGAGCGCCAAGCTGCGGAGCTCCAGCTTCAGGCAGGGACCGGGAGGTCTTCCTCTTATCTTTGCCTTTGCATCCTTCATCATCTTGTACTCTTTCTGAATCGATCTGTCCTGTTGCATCGGGGGCTTGGATGTCATGCATCATGACAGTGTAAAGAGTAAAATGTGCGACAACCTTCAGATGTACTTTGGTGCTGCATGCCTAATAGTCCAATCTTCCATGCGGTTTATGACACGAATATCATCCTGCAGCTGGACCTGATCGAAACCTCGAGTCTTCAGTCTTCGCTCGTGCCAGGCGGCTCTCGAATCGGAAGATTCTGCTGTGCTGAGAAAGGCCATTGCCTCCACCAGGCTAGCCAGCGACAGTTGTGGGAGAGAAGTCGAGAGCAGCGGAAGTGGGTCCGAGGACGAAAGCGTCGTCGACACCTTGGAATCTGTTTGGGGCCTGACGCGCGATGCAAGGATTCCCTTTGCATGCCGAGGCCCGAAGGTCTTCGGGCAGCGGAGGCGCTGACGAGAGCGAAGTGAGGCGAAGCGCAGCGCAGCCGGGGATGAACTGGGCCAGGACAGGCTCGTCGAGATGGAGGCACGGGCCAAGCGGCGGGAGATGGCGCAGCTCGAGTTTTTTGCCGGCACAGAGGGGTGGGGCCCGGGTGCAGACGTGCAGACCCCGAAGGATCCCGAAGGGAAAGTCTCGCCCTCGCTGTTCTCGGCCGAGGCTTTGCCTGGCACAGAACTCGCGAGACATCCCCCGACTGCGAGCCGCCCTGGAGCTTGCACGGGCCGCCGGGGCCGGGGCACCCTGTGGATTCAGCTAAAGTGCCTCAAAGTTCGGGGAAGCTGTGGTGTGATGTGCTATGTGACTTTGTGAGGTGAACCTTCCAGAGCAGCAGGTGCAGGAGCCATGTTCGCGTGCTCCTTCGACGAAAACGGCTTGCTTCTCGTGTACCCTTGTGAGGAAGCTGAAGAGGTTCTTGCTGACCTCATCCAGCAGGAGATCACCCTCTCTGGCAGGATATGGGGATGCATATCTCCTGAAAGGACAGCCTGCGAAGAGAGGCTCTTCAGCGACTCGCAGAGGTCTGGTGCTCAGCTTTTCAGCCGAAGGCTCGGATGCGGAACGCGGGCGCGGTGGGATCCCAGGCTGCGAAGCTGCGAGACCTGGCAATGCTGAAGCAGGAACGCATAGGAAGGCTGAAAGCTCCCCGCCTGCTCCCCCGGGAATCTGGGACTTTGCAGGCGCTCTCCGCGTCCGACATTCTCTCTGAGGCCCCCGCTCTGCTCAGAGAGAGAGAGTGCCTTGAGGGATTCCGAATCGCATCGTGCGTCGCGCAGGATGCCGAGGTGCAGAAATCGAAGGCCTTGCTCCTGGAGCTGGAAGAGGCTCTCTCTGCATGCATCTCGCTGTGCGATGCCGTGCGTGTCATGCAAGGAGGCACGGGCCGAAGCAGAGGCGGCACGACGAAGGGCAGCCGCTGAAGCAATAGAGGCACCCGCTCTGTCTGCAATGGCCAAGATTACTTCACGTTTGGGCCACTTCAGTTTTCTTATCCATCTGTCCGGTTCCATTTGCCCTTGTTTGTAACGCTCCATTTTTGCGGTACATTACTTGGTTCGCGTCAGGCTTGCAGCGATTCAATTTGCTCCGGTGCCGTCTGCCATGTTTAGGGTTTTCTCTGTGCTGCTGCAGGCTGCTGTGGCACAGGGAGACTGGGGCAAAATTGAGTCTGCCAGAACCTCACTTGCCTGGGCTTAGTAATGTGTGCGAGAACGTGTTTCATTCGGAGGACCGTTGTTCGGTGACATTCCCGTGATCCGGGGAGAGGGCTTTCGATGTAAGTCCGATGCTGAGGCTTTGAGTGCTGGCTTGGAGCTCGGCCTTGCAGAGGCATCGTGGGGCAAGCTCAGAAGTGACTGAACTGCCGGTTAACCTGCTCCAGGAAGGAGCACCAGTCCGAGCGGCTCACGCGAAACTTGAGAGCCTTCGCGAGGCCACGCGGACACCCCACGCGCAGCGCATCGCAGCGCATGCCCTGCTCCCTCCAGGCTCGGGAGCTCGAGGAGGCCCAAGCCGCTGTGGAGGAGGCCGAGGCCAAAGAGCGGAAGCGTGGAAGCGGCGCGGGGCGGTGGCGGCGGTGGCGTGGCGGTGGCGTGGCGGCTCGACATGCAGGCGAGGCTCCTGGAGCTGCAGAAGAAGGAGCACAGCTTGGTGGGAGCGAAGCACAAGAAGGAGCGCTCCGCGAAACTTGGCTGCGTCTCAGAGACTCCGAGCAGCTCGCAGCTGGAAGTTTTGTTTTGTTTAAGGATCGGGAAAGAGATGATGGCAATCCGCAACAGTGAAGCTTACATCTCCGAGCCTTGATGCATTAGATTTGCAACCGGACGACCCGTGGTTCTGAAGCTCTCTGGCCATGTTGGCGTCTTCTGAGGCAAGGAACTTCCTGAAGAGCCCTGATCAGGCTAGGGCCAGGCGGTAGGCGGTGCTTGCAGCTTGCCGTATGTCACACATTTTCTGTGCAGGAGAGGAAGCGAAGGCAAGAGCAAAGGCGAGCTTTCTGGGTTGGACGTCAAAATTTGACCTGGTCCATTTGCAGCTCTTCAGATACTCCAAAACAGTCGCAGCCCCCCCTGTGCTCTCGCCCTTGTCGTTCCAACATTTCCATTAAAGGGTTGTCTCGGGTTGCTCTTGCTAAGTTGCACTTTTTACTCTTCGGAAAACCGTTGCCACCGTAGCAAAGACAACATTGCCAGAAGGCAGTTCACCCATCTGCATGCATGTCTTGAGAGCGCTCCTACTCCCACCGGGGTGAGTATGTTGCTAGTCGAGCTGCTCAGATGAGAGATCGCAGGATCTGGTCCGTGTCGGTTTCTGCTTGATGCTGATGTCGGCGACTTCCTATGACTCGTTCGTTGTAGCAGTGTGGCATGCTGACTCTGTGGCCCTCCGACACTTTAAGCTGCTGAGACACCACTTCCTGGGTAAAGTAGCCTGTTGCATGCTGTGAAGCGGCATGAGGTGAAGTGGAGATTCTTGGGCTTGGCACGCCACCGGGGTTGCGAGGACGATAATGAGCTCCCTCTACTGACGCCTCGGTGCGGATAGAGCTCCTACCGGAATC